ACCATTTCAAAAGAATTAGCTAGTCTCATTTATAGACCTATAGCTTTTGGAATGTGATTAGCAGCTAATTTAACAGCTCATCATATTTTACCCAACAAGTATGCAACACAGCAATGTATGTTAATAATTCCTTTATGCCAAATAATTTTTTATAAAGATGCGAGGCTATGATAATAGCCGAGTTTTTTTAACACTGGCAAAGAAAGCTGGCTCTTTTGTGCTTTTTTTTATTTAATATTTTTTATTTTATATTTAATTTTTTAATGAAATTTCAATCTATTGTAATATTTAATTTTTAAATAATTTTTTAATGCATTGTTTTTTTTTAAGTAGTTTGTATCTTATATTAATATATATATGTTTTTAATATATTTTAAACTTTAGTTTAATTTAAAAGTTAATCTACGATCAATAATAGCAAACTTATTAACGACCGTCTCAGAAATATTAGAAGGGACATCTCCTTCAAAATTTAAATCAAGGCTTCCATAAATCAAGATCATGAGATAAAGCAAATAGGTTCGTTAATACTATTCCGTAAAAGTCATTGAAGATATTATGGAGTCTTTTCTAATTGGTGTCACTTTAAAAATACTTTAATAATAGAACACTACTGAGATCTTTTGCACTACTGAAATCATTTTTGTAGAAGCTATAGCTCTTACAAAAATATTATAAAGCACATGTGCTATAGCACATGAGCTTTATAACATTTTAAGGTTGTATCATCAAAACTTGCGTCTAGTTCAACACTTAGATGATCTAACAAAGGAATCGTAATAACTAACTTAAAATAATCAGAAATAGATTCAGAAGGATTATTATTTCTGTTTTTCAAAATAAATGAAATTCTTTGCTTTGCTTTGGTTGCATTTATATTTTGTATAATTTTTAAAGTCTGTTCAAAGCGCATTTGATGGTGTTGATCAACTACATTTCTAAGTAAAACTACAACATCTTTTAACGCCTGAATAAGATTCAAATCATCATAAATATCATTTTTCTTTGACTGCAATATTCGCTTTACGGGAAGAGTTTAGTCAAACACATTTCTTGTTATGCGCAAGGCAACAATAAAATTGAAACTTGTAATTAGTGTTAGAAGGGAAAGCTTCGATGCAGCAAAAGATGTTAAATGATTAAAGCATTTAAAGACATTTCTTCAAAACAAAAGGCCAAAAAAATAAAAGATTCTTGAAAAGTTAAAAGCAAACATCTTTTAACTTTGTTTTAACAGCCAATGGAACAGTACTTTCAATATGTTCCTCTAACCTCTGTTGTCTGGTTGGTGAAAGATTGAAAAAATATTATACCTCTATAACATGTGCCAGATGATTCTTGACATATTGCACGCTGAATGAGGCACAAACAGTTAAATTAAGCCTATGGCTATAGCAATCAACATATGTAGCTTTTTCAGTTAGATTTAAAATACGAGAGGACAATCCTTTGATGTAACCAGCCATTGCTCCAGCACCATCATATGACTGTCCTCTGTAATTCATGATATCTAAAGAAAAATCTGAAATACGTTTTTAACAAAATAAACACCACTAAGTAAATAATAAATATTAACACCAGTTGTGCAATGTAAAAAGCTAATAAATTATTTTCTTATGTTAAACTTTGAATCAGTAAATCGCATACCTAATGATAGCTGTTCTTGATTTGAACTGTCATACGCTTCATCAGCAATAATGTAAAAATATTTAGAATTTTTAATTTCTAATATTATTGAGTCAGTAATAACTTCTCCACAACACTTTATTAACTAGCTAACAGCTTTAAAAATTCAACTTTATTTTAATATATTTGGGTACGTACCCTAGATCCGCCCTTGAGTTGTTATTACCACTATTTAGCTTGTTGGCTTATAATTTATAATTCTGAAAATATAAACAAATGCATAAAAACTAAGAGATTATATTGTGTGAAAAGTTATTCAAAAAATACAAACATTCGTAACAGAATTTAAGATCTTTTTTGATCATACTTTTATTCAAATTTATTTTTGACTTTTTGACTTTACTTTTACGATGATTTCTAACAGATGCAATAAAATCTTGAATGAGCTCAATGTTCCTTTCTGAAGCATCATTAACAACAGAATGTTTTTGATCCATACTTTAAACCAAGGGTGTGGAATCGTAAAAAAAAAAGTAACGACTCCGACTCCGACTCCAGTTGTTGAAATTTTTTGAACACTCAAATCAATTGCTTGATTCTCCAACTCGACTTCAACTCCGACTCCAACTCCAGGGCAAAATTTTTTAAAAATTCTTTGAATTCTTTAAAAAATATTACGAGATAAGTTAAAAATTTTTTTTTTGACAAATTTATGAAACGTTTTTTGAAGTTTAGTATGAACATAATGTTAATTAAATATTTTGTACATGCACGTGCAATACCGAGAAGTTTTACTAATGGAATCGGAGTCGCGATTTTGTTTAGCAACTCCGACTCTGACTCCGCTGAAAATGTTGCAACTCCGCACCTCCGG